ATATAACAATAATAAACTTTCAAGTTAATAATTAAGTGTTAAGATTAGAGGAAAAACTGACATTCTAAATGAAAGTCAATAAATTGGTTTTTAAGGTACATTAGGATAGCTATATCTATAAATTAGCTCTCTGTGTATGATAAATTTCGGGAGTTTGCCATTATAAAATTTACTTTTATCATACACCTCCAGAAAGGAGTAACTAAAGTTAATTTAAAATGGCTCCGATTCATCAAAAGTCACATGACTCTTACCAACAAACTTTCATGAAAGCCAAATCTGCAACGATTCGAAGACAAATCTCCTAGAAACATGCTTTTTTTCACAATCATTGCTACAGGGACATGTACAGGTATATCAGTATATTCTCAAATATTCATGCATTTACTGATTTCAACTTGAGAGGTCAACCAGAAGCCAACCTGAACATCCTACATCACTTAGCTCATTCCTTCTTGCCATAGTCAAGAAGTTAATTTCCTCCATCATAATTAGCAGAAAGATTCCAGATTTCAGAAAACTGAGCAGGAAGTATGGCATTTGAAACATTTCCCTTCAGACCAGAGGGGATGAAAGTGGATGCTGCAAGGAGAAGAAAGAACTTGAGCTAGACCTGTAAAGGCTAAATAAAGCTCCTGTTCTTTGAATGATGCTCTAGTCTATCATACAGGTATGTAGGGGCCAATCCCCTCATCGTTTGTCCTTTCAGCAGTGAACAGAGAGGATGCAACTTTCAAGTGACGTCTCAGAAGTTCCTTTCACTCATTTTTGCCCCTCTTGGCCCAAAATAATGAGTCCTGGTGATGCAGCGGTTAAAGTGCTCGGAGGCAAACCAAATGGTCAGCTGGCGGCCTGATTCCATAAAGATTTACAATCTTGGAAACCCTATGGGTCGGTTCTACTCTGTCCTATAGGGTCACTATGCGTTGGAATTGACTGGAGGGCAGTGGATTTGGTTTTCGTTTGGTACCCTAAAATGAATAAAACGTTTCCAGAAATTTAAGCCAAAAACTTTTAAATAAGTTCCTCCTGCCCAGTTCTAAGAAATCTTGGAAGTTGTTTCACAGGAGCAGCTTTGTTATACCACTCTCACGGATTTAATGGGACCAGGGGACCCAAAAACACAGTAAAGGGCATATTTAAGCCAAGGAGAAAGATTTTTAGGACAGGGTGAGTGCCACATGTGTCTTTAATGTCCAACAGCTGCTAGAGATCATAACCCCGCTGCTCTTTCTGTACCCCCCACCAGAATCCTATGTTTCAAAGAGTATTGTAACTAAAGGGACTTCCCTGCCTTGTAATCTGAGAAATGAACTCAAACTCCAGCAGATTCAAGGATTTAAAAAAAAAAAAAAAACTAAATGTACCTGTTATGTTGCCGACTGAACCCTTAACTAGTTAAATCACCAGGGGAGGGACGCGGAGTGGAAGGAGGGGGTTACACAATGCATTTGGACAGGCCAAGGAGGAAGGTAAGAAGAGTGAGAAACCACGGGGGGCAGCCGGGATTCCCGGGACAGTTCGGATTCCCGGGCAGCCCAGTGACTTCTCCCATGCAAGCTAACTTCATATTGGAGCTCTCCAAGGCTCGAGCAACCCAGTGCGTCTCTGGACCTTAAATCCCAGTGGAGGTAAACGCGCCCAGGGCACCGCGTCCGCGCGTGGTTTCGGGTGCCCCGGACGCCACAACCTGTCGCCCGGTCCCCGCGCAGACAATGCCGCGCGCGCTTCCCGAGGCCTCGCCGGGACCCGCGCCTCACCGTCCCCCTGCATCCCGCGCGGGGGACACTTACCGACACCAAAAACTCCAGCGTTCCCACGTAGTCCTGCTCGGTCTTCTGGAGCTCGCTGAGCACGCACACACGCAGGCGAAGCTGTTTCTCCAGGTCCTTGGCGCTCTCGGAGCGGGCATCCCATCGGCTCTCCTCGCTCATGGTGGGCAGAGGGGCGCGGGGCTGGCGGCCCTGCTGCGCGCTCGCCCGCCTGCCCGCGTCTGCCCGGGATCCGGGGCCCAGAGAAAGAGAAGTTGCTGCTTCTGCAAAGTCCGAGGAGGAACGGGCGACTTCAGTAGCCTGAGAGTGGCTGGGGCGGGGGAAGAGGAGGGGGCTGGGGCTCGGGCTCGAACTCGTTGTCGGAAGGCGCAGGCTTTGCAGAGGTGGCCCCCAAGAGAGGGGGTTCCGGGCCCGGACCTGCTCGCCAGGCTCTGCGTCTCCGGCCTCACGCGGCCGAGGCTGGAGAGGAGGCAGCTCCGGCAGCCACAGCGGTGACTTGGACATTAATCAAATGCTTTGTATCCATGTGACTCCGACCTTTTACCCTTCGCCAAATCTCAGGAAAAAGGAAACACAACTCTGGGGAAGTGTTGCGTGCCAGTTAACTAAATACACACACAGACATACACACAGAGAATCAGCACTTGAGGAGATGGAATTAATTGGAAGTTCCCAAACCGGGAAGGACACACTCCCCTCAAAAGGATCTGAGGCAGAGCCCGAGGGCTGCTCCTGAGACTCTCGCCTATTGTTTAGTTTTAATGTGTTTGGTAAAAATCCTGAAAGCAAAGAAACAAGTCCCCACGGTTACGTAACTAGACGGGAAGAAAAACAACCACAGTACTTACCCTCTTGTCTTTGAAAAGAAACACATTGATTTTTGGTTTTATTCAGGCACAAAACAGACTTGTTTTAACACACACATCCCCCCTCCCCCAACCGCGACTATTTCGCGGAGCAGACGCTTTTCTCTCTGCCTTTGGAAAGTGAATTAACATAATAAATGAAAATATTATGGGAAAGTGACAGGCAGACCCATACAATAAACTTCAGATACAACAAACACCGCCACTGAGCTGTGCTACGTTTTGGAGAGAAACGTTTTGCATGTCTATAACTCTTTTTCAACATCAGCATAGTATGTAAATTAAACTAGAGCAAGGATATTTCAGTTAGTGTTGTTTTTAAGAACTGCTGAGATTTAAGAAAGTATCGCTAATTCGGAAGACAAAGCTGCTATTGAATACTCAATAAATGATGGGGATGTAAAGATGCATTTATGCACTGCATAGTGCCTAAGGCACTTGACTACTAACTAGAAGGCTGGCGGTTCAAACCCACCAGCCACTCCTCAGAAGAAAGATGGGGCAATCTACTTCAGTAGTGATACTGCATCAGAAACCCAAGGAGGGGTCGCTATGAGTCGGTCTGACTCGGGGCACGTAACAACAACGACATATGTGTATGTATGTGTGTGTGTATATATATACATACACGTACTGTTGTTGTTAGGTGCCTGGAGTCGGCTCAGAATATGTGTGTGTGTGTGTGTGTGTGTGTATAAACCGAAAACCAAACTCACTGCTGTGGAGTGGACCAACTCAAGCGACCCATCCTTGGGTTTCCGAGGCGAGGCGGTACCACTAAGTAAGTAGATTGCCCAACCTTCCTTCTGAGGAGTGGCTGGTGGATTTGAACCACCAGCCTTCTAGTGAGCAGTTTGTATATATATAATATACAAACAAATATATATATAATATTTATATATGTATTTTTCCCGTAGTATTTAAGAACAGAAACACAGAGTGTGTCCTGGTTTTAATGTTTATGTTTAATATTTTTGTCCACACCTGGAAACTGATTTCTGTTTCTGATTCTGGACCTCAAAAGTACTGAATATTTCCAATTAATTTAAACAAATAAAAACTTTATATGTTTTTGACTTTAAGTATTTTGATTATCCATATTTTTTCAAAGCATTGTTTCTTAGGACAATTTTAAACAGTTCACAAATCATTTCATTCAAATAAATTGAATGGTGAATACTTTGAATGCAAGAATATATCCTGTTAATTTGTTCCAATAGTTGAAAGCATTTGCAAAATTCTAAAAATTAAAAATAATTTTCACATTATTTATATCAAAATAATTATCAGTTTTCCAGGTAATGTCTTTTCAGAACATGATTTGGGATGAATAACTCTACTGAACTGGAGGAAAACAGATATTTTTTGCTGTTATGTACATAGTTTTTTAATCATGTGTGATGAACTGATAGACAAGATGCAATCTTCCCGCTTTTAATGCTACTTCACCACTCATTGCCATGGACTCAGTTCCAACTCATAGTGACCCCTCCTTGGGTTTCCAAAGCAGTATCTCCACAGCAGTAGATTGCCCAGTCTTCCTTCTGATTAGTGGCTGGTAGGTTTGAACCACCAGCCTTCTGGTTAGCAGTCAAATGCCTTAGGCACTATACTACAGAGTCAATCTAGAGATCTGAGGAAGTAGTACCTCAGGCATTTGACTGCATCTGATTACAGAATGCTGATGATTCAAACCGGCCAGCCTCCTGGGAAGGAAGATGGGGCGATCTACTTCCATAGAGATTTACTGTCTCTGATACCCAATGGGGTCACTATGAGTTAAAATCAACTAGATGGCAATGAGGGTTTTTTTGGAGTTTTCTAGAGGTAGCCATGAGCAAAGGGCAAATAGTGTAGATGATTTCACACCCTGTGGCAAAAGAACAAAGGACAAAGTACATTAAAGAGCAGATCTTACAGCACCTAGTAAACAATAAACAAAAGAAGCGGAAGACATAGGAAACACACATCCATTAATGAATGGGCAAATCAAACGGCATTTAACCTTCTCATAGTGTATGTACAGGGAGGAAGAAAGGAATGCATTTCTTCCTCCCCAAGTCTGCACCTTTTCCCATTGACAAAAACAAGTTAATAAATTTTATGCTTTCTATCAGATGTTTTCTGAGATAAAATTTCTCGCTTACCAATTGCCCCCATTAGTCTGTACACAATCCACTACAGCTGCAGCTTCACCTCTGAGGCACGAGTTTGAATCACCAATAGGATTTTACCCAACCAAAGTATTCATCTCAATTCAACAAACATACACTGGGGAACTCCATGCACATTGCATAATATCTGGCCTGAGGACCACACAGACTCTGATCTCTCTAGAACAATTTTTCTCAACGTGGGTCACACACAGACCATTGTATCAGAGTCATCCGAAGTGCTTGTTAAAATTATCATTCCTAGACCCCATCCCAAATTTATTGAATGAGAATTTCAGGATAAGTGTAGTGCCTAAGGCACTTGACTGCTAACTAGACAGCTGGAGGTTCAAACCCACCAGCCACTCCTGGGAAGGAAGGTTGGGTGATCTACTTCCATAGTGATTCCACCTCAGAAACCCAAGAAGGGGTCTCTCTGAGTCGGGTCTGACTAGACAGCACACAACAACAGACTCATTTAACAAGGTACTCAGATTCTTTTTGTTGCTGTTGTTTTTAGATGCTGTCGAATTCTCTCTGATTGATAGCTACCCTATGCACAGCAGAACAAAACACTGTCTGGTCCTGTGCCAGCCTCATGCTCCTTGCTATACCTAAGCCCATCGTTGCAGTCACTGTGTCTATCTATCTCATTGAGGGCCTTCCCCTTTTCGTTGACCCTCCTCTTTACCAAGTGTGATATCCTTCTCCAGGGATTTTTCTTATGCACACTAATATTTGAGAATCACCATTCTGAAGACATACAGGTGGGTAAGTGACTCACAAGTATAACTACCTCTATTAAAAAGCAAATCACAATGAATGCTTCGCAAAAAAGTAACAAATATACAGTGTGAGCTAGCAGAAAAATATTCATTTTAAATGTGCAGATCAGATTTCTCTCAGAAGTGCCCTGTAGAGATCTTATTACATATGAATAATTTCTGCCCACACTTCTGCTTCTCGGTCTACTCCTCAGTATCATTTATAATTAAGGAACAACTTCAGGACATCATGTAGTGCCTTCTGCCAGGCACCTCTCAGTGTCTTCGTCAGCCCTGGATGGAGTTCTTAATTCTTCATCAAAGACATAAAAGCATAAGAAAACAGGACTGGAGTATCTGGAAACCTTCACTTTGATGGTAAATAAGGTCTTTCATTAGCTCTGAATGTACTGCATCTCTTCCCACTTCCTCTATTGAAACTTTAGGCTCTGTCTGCCAGGAAAAGTAAAGCTACAACCAAAATGACAGACAGGGTCCAGTTTTTGCCTTGAAATACTAATGAGGTTGAAATATCCAATAAAAAGGAGGTGGGAGAAAAGAAGATAGAAGAGGCTGAGTAGTAAACCAGGTCAGCCATTAAACTTATTTCCCATGCATGAGCTTGATTTGGTTAGAAACCATTATCATTTGGTTCAAAGAGTCAAAGTCCACTGTAGAGTGGGACTTCTTTTGATCAGGCTTAGAGAAGGATGACTGCTAGACTGGAAGACTGAAAAATCTAGGGTTGCTTCTTTGCATGAAGAGAGCTCTCTTGGTAATATTCCACATTGAGGTCATTTTTTTCTCGATGCTACTTCAATATTACTATTTGCCCAGAGTAATAATAGATAGTTGATGATATTTGACGATGTAGTTCATTAAAAAAAAAAGTATAGATTTCTCTACTGCATTGTCATCTTAAAAAGGAAAAACCCCAACAGTCAGATTGCCTTTTATTCACAAGTGAAATTAATTCTGGAATGTCTTTGACTACTGTGACCTATGATAGACTGCCCTTGACCATATGTTGTTGTTGTTATTATGTGCCGACAAGTCAGACCCGACTCACAGCGACCCCTCTTTGGGTTTCTGATACAGTATCACTACGGAAGTAGATTGCCCCATCTTCCCGAGAAAAAATGTTACAGACACGTTAGAGCTATATTGATGTGTATTTCAGAGTCTTGGATGAGCAGTAATTCTGAAAATATCTGTTCATTTATTTTATAATTCATGTCAATTCCTCAGTTACTTCCACTTAATTTTGATGATAATTTAGTTATAAGAAGCATAGGTTACGTTGGAGTATGTACTAACTCTATTATACCAAATCAAGACTTTTAGAATACGTATTGTTAACAAAAGAAAATAGAGTTTTCACAAGCTATATTTTAATTTCT